GCAGCAATCCAGGCCTCAAAGTGATGGGCCTGCCACGTGGCCACAGCCTGCAGCCCTGGCCCTGCCTCGCTCACCTTCAGGAGGGACAGCTGCCCGTTGGAGTCGCTGCTAATGAGTTTCAAGGGCTGGTCACTGGCTCTGGACAAAGGGAACCAATGGAGAAACCTGGCTGAAGTTCATGCACCGACTCAAATGCATCACTCTCTTCTGGCTCCCAACTGGTGACACTTTATGCCCCCACAGCATGTCACACAGAGGCTTTCCACAGACCTGGAGTGTGGACATGCCTCTTAAGAAGCGTGCTTGAGGGGGAAGCGTATAGCTCAGTGGTAGAGCATATACCTAGCATGCACGAGGTCCTTGGTTCAATCCCCAGTACCTCCATCAAAATAAATAAGTAAACAAACAAATTACCTCCCCCAAAAGTAAAAAAATTAAATAAATAAGTAAGTGTCAGCTCCTCCCGATAAAAACACCATCCCTTCTAACTAAAAGGCTGAACTTTTTTCTTTTTGCATCAGGCCTGCCAGTGATGTTCCCAGGTTTGGGGAGCCACAGATGAGGCCAGCACAGGTGGCTTTCGTTCTCTTGCATGAAGAAAGGAGTGGACGCCCAGGGGAAGACTCGGGCCCACCAATGCCAGCCCTCACCTTCCAGCCTTCCCAGTGGACCAGTCCAAGGACAAGGCCAGACCCCGCTTTTCCAGGGCAAAGCGGGAGAATGGCTCTAGCGTGTAAGAATTCTGCTGTGGAGAAAGGAACGTGATCAAAGGGGCACGGCCTCAGACCCAGAGAGGATTTCTCCTCTGGTCCAGGAACGCTGCCGTCCCCTTGTTCCTACAAAGGGTCTGGCCCTTGTCACCGACCTCTGATTGCACCAAGCGGAGGAGCTCTACGGACCCGCCAGCATCCGCCACGCCCAAGAGGGCGTGGCCGCCCACTGGGACGCGGCACCTGCAGAGACACACGTGCCAGTTAGAACCCGGGGCATGCCCAGAGCACAGGAGAGCACCATGCACCCCAGTAACTGTTTAAATTTCAGCTTCAAAACTGGGTGTGAGCCTACAATTCTGTTTCAACAAGATCCCCCAGCTTATGAAGCAGAAAACTAGCATTACTTCCCAGACTGACAGGGATGTGGAAAAACCCCAGTCTACAGCATCCTCCAGGTGCCAACAGGTGGGCAGGATAGGACGGTAAAGAAATGAACCCAAGCCTCAGACACTCCCCCGCCCTGTGGAACGCTGCCAGGCATCAGGCTCCTCACAACAAATTCCAGACAAGCAGGACTGTTCCCAAAGTCGTACCATTTCATGTCCAGGATTGCAGACGTATCTCTCCTTTGGATCTCAACCAGGGGGCAAGTGGAGCCGTCCTCATTGAAACTATACAGGTAGAGGCGGCCTAAACGGACTTGAGGCTCATCAACATCCAGTCCACTCTGCAAAAAAGCTCAAGTGAGTCCTCTGATCACCTTCACAGATTCTGAGGAGCCCAGGGATGGGGACTGAGAGAAGAAGAGACTAGCCAAGACTCTGGAACTGTGCCTGGAGGCAGCACCCCGACTTCCTGAGCTGGAGAAATGTCTCTTGTATGCAAGTAATGGGTAGGGGCTGAGCCCTCCTCTACTCAGCACAGGAGACTCCTTCTAAATCGGCCAAGAGCAGGGTTAGGGTCAGCACAGGGCCCAGTCTGCCTGGGACAGCCCTTGCTTAGGGCTGTTGCCCCAGCACCAGTTCTCACGCTTAAAAGTGTCTGGTTTGGATGCACATAGATGCCTTCAAGAGAGTGGGTACAGCTCCTGCGAATCCCGTTTTCTCTTTACTCTAGACTTCATCCGTAAACTTGAACCACGCCTGCAGAGATGACAGCCTGCTTTCGGGATGCCCCGTTTCTAACCTACTTTCTGGCCACAAGGCCAATGTCGCATCTGCACCCCCCGTGCGACTCCACGCCAGAGTTTCCTCTTTCGACCGAGGCTTGCGGTCGGCTCTGCCTCTCGGGAGCCCTTTCTCGCCCTTCCCCAGAGAAGAGCCCGACCCTGGGGCTTTAGCTGCTCGGGAAATGCCACCTGGGAATCGAAGGCCTGTGGAGACCGCGCGAGGCCGGAGGGCACCGCGCACCTTGCCCCCCGGATCGGCGGGCTGGTCCTCCGGCTTCCGCAGCTGGTAGGTGCCGCACGCCAGCAGGCGCCTGCAGCCCTCCAGCGGGCACCACTCCACCGAGTCCGCAGTGTGCTCCGCGTCCACCGCCTGCAGCAGCCGCACCCGACTGCCGGCCGCCCAGCATTCGGAGAAGGACGCGGCGGCGACCGGGGTGGCGGAGAGTGGGTGGCGGAGGCGGGCGGATGAAGCCAGGTTGAGAGCAGGGTCGGCGGGCCCGGGGCTGCGGCGAGAGCGGGGCCAGGGCCGGGATGGTGGGAGGCACTGCTCAGCTCGGGCGCGACACTCCCCCCACTTCCGCCGCCGTCCCTCGCTGTACCGTACCATCCGCCCTTGGTCCGGTACCAGCAGACAGATGAGGCCAGCACAGGTGGGCTTTCGTTCTC